TATATATATATATATATATATATATATATATATATACATTTAATTGTATTTCATCTAAGGTTTCGATATGCTGTGTAAAATTCATGCTATCAATCCTTTTAGTGTAATCTGTTTTATAAAAAAATTTGTAGCTTTCTTGAATAAATATATACATATATATATATATGGAAATTTCTGACTGGAATGATCATATGTTTTTACTGGAATATTTTATTTTCATGGTCAAAATATTTTCTTCTATGTGTAACAGCCGATAAATTAATTTTGCAAGTTAGGAAAAAATAAATTTGGAATTAAGTGTTAATTATAAAAATAAATGAACATCTTTTTCAGGTGATCCAGAACATGTCCAATGACTCCATATACTATTGTGATACCAACAAAGGTAAGACTTTTGTTGTTACTGTAGAAGTATGAGGGAAGTCTTTTATTACAATTGTGGTATGAGGTAAAACCTTTATTACTGGAGAGGTATAAGGTAACATCATTTTGTTACTGGAGAGGAATAAGGTAACATCATCTTGTTACTTTAATAGTATTGGGTGACACCTTTGTTGCTCTAAAAGTATGAAGTAGCACCTTTGTTACTGTAAAGGTATCAGGTAACACCTTCTTTATTACTGTAAAACTATAAGGTAACAACTGCATCATTACTGTAGAGATACAAGGTAACACCTTCATTGTTATTGCACAGCTATGAGGTAACAGATACAAGGTAACATCTGCATTATTTTACATCATATTTGTAAGATTGACTTTTATAACTTCAGAGATCTAACCTATTAACTTAGTTTCTACTTTATTACAGAAAATGTTGTAAAGCACATAACAGTTTAAACAAACCTAAATTTTTTTATGCCACTGTACTGAAGTGATTGAAAGAATTCCTGTGTATGCTACAAGCATGGAACAAAGCTCTGACCCCAATGTGTAATCATCATTAGTCTGTGTTTCTCAACCATTAGAAGGACAACACATCCTACATGTGCATTAATTCCCATAACCACTATTAATTGAACAAAGGATCATTCTTTCCTTGGGTTTGCTTGTTTTCATACTTTTTTTTAATAAGAATTACCAGAATTTGTATGTTTATTATTTTAAACTTTTGTTACCATTCACAGTGTATTCTTGAAGTGTTTTTTTTTTCTTTTTCTCTATTTTCAGATCATTCATCTACAGGTTACAGCATATACCTTAAACCTCAGCAATAAGTGCCCTGCATTATCTGTACATGATACTATCATCATCAAAGTCATTATTTGTTTAATGTGTAAAGGAAAGGTCTCAACTTTTAATCTACTTGCAAAGAAGAATTTTTTGTTGTTGTTTTTATTATGGAAAATTGAGAAAAGATATATTCTGTATCAGAGTTAGGCCTTTCCTCAAAGAGTATTCATTATCTGTGGCAATTCCATGACAGGTTTTAAAAGATTTTAATGGAACATGAATGTTTTCTTCATTAATTTTTTATTAAGTTTTTCACTTAAGGCAAAGTTCACTATTGGTAACTACCTATATTCAAACCTAGTGTGACCATATTGAATTTTTCACATGTGACTTTTAGGTATTTTAAATGCATGAATATGATGCATTTTTTGATGTCTGTGTTACATACCAAATGTTTAACATGTGACTTTCATACCTGTCACATATGCATCATCCCTTGTTACTGAACCATGTTTCATATGACATTTCATAAATGTCATGTGTAATTAACTTGCATGTTTAACAGGTAATCATGATATCTGTCACATATATCATTGTAATGTATGATTTAGATGTGTCATTCTGTCGTGCAGTACAACATGATGTCTGAATTGTGCACATTCCAGGTGTGATTAACATGGCACACTAAAGTAAGGATATATATATACATAACCTAAAATGATAAAAGAATAAAACTTTATTAAGATTAAACTTTGAGGCTGATAACAACTTTTATTTTCTCACAGGTAGAAAAAGGAAGGGCTATTATCAGCCTAAAGCATAGGCTTCATAAAACTTTTATTCTTACTTCATTCTAAGACTGTCATATCCTGTTTTGAGTTCCATTATCTTCTGATAAAAAAATTTTGGCATTATTAATTTATTTATTTTTTTCAACATAGTTTTTTTTTAAGTCAATGCATACCCACTATATTTCTACAATTGATGTTGAGTCTCAGATTGAAAGGTTTAAGTGAGAGAAAATATAGTTGTTGAACTAGTATAGACTTAAATGACATACCAGCAATTTCTCTTTGTCATCAACACAACCATGCATGAAGAAGTACAAGTCAGAATTATTTGTTTCCAGGCAATATTTTCATATTTTGGTTTGAGTATATGTAAAACTTACTGCAGTAATGTAAGTATGTATGTACATTTATAGATTTAGATCTTACTGTGTTGATATCGGGCTGGAAGATGGTGTCTTTGTGCTTGTTCAAACACTATGAAATACACCTGATTTTCCAGTGTTTATTATCATTAAGTGAATAAATTTGCTTTTTTAGTACAATCTGTAATTAGGTTTTTGTTATAATTTTCATTGTAAATAGTTCTATAAATGGTGCTTTCATTGAATAAGAACTGTTGTATTAAAAGTAAAATGATTGATCTTCAAGTGCCTGTGCCTATACATAACACACAACTTTTATCACTTATTTGAAACAATTTCTTTTTTTCTTGAGAAAGTTGTAAAGCATTTCACTAGCAAATATAATGTTTTATTTGTTTTGAAAATTTTCTTAATCATTTGTCTAAAACAGGCTTTTGACCAGTTTAGAATGTTTTAAACTATTTCCTTAGCTAGGATACATTAATACCCTTTTTATACTGTTTAAAATAGAATTTTGTTAACTGGAACTAAAACACTGGAAGTGTAACTTTCTTTCCAACTACTAACAAATCAAAGAATTAAAAATATTCTCAATTTTTTTTTCCAACAAAATTTTGTTGAAAAGTAAGCATTTATAGCATCATTAATTTATTTATTTCATATATTTTTGGTATGAATTCTGCAGCTTCATCTGACACCCTTTTAATAGTCCATATGTAACAATTAAAATAAATTGAAAATCTTCATATTGAAGCTTCCTCGATACTACTCTTTCCTTACACATGCTGTGACAGGCAACATACATCTGGATCCGAGTTTCTTTTTTTTCAAGTCTGTTAGGAAAATGTGAATTACCTTAGTCATTACCTGTAATCTGTGAATAACTTGTGTTTAATATTTAGTACAATTACTTGTTTCTGAGAGATATACATGTTCAAACTGCTGTTGGTGTTTTTGTTTCTAGGTTCTTTTATATTTCAGAAAATGATTTCCACTTGGTTATGTTCATA